AATACCCCCCTTTGGGGGGCTAAGGGGGGGGGATAAAAGCTTTCCCCCCACCCCATTAGGGTGGGGGCACAAGCCTAAGAGTATAGTATTTCTTTATAGTAGCTTAGAATATTAATATAAGAGGCTTAAACTTATATAACTAGGAGGTATTAATTAAGGGCTACTAAGAAGGTAAAAAGATATAAATATATTACTTAACTTATTAAAATTAATTTAAATTTATATAAAGTTAAAAACTATAAATGAAATTATTTAAAATATTATTTTATTAGTAGTAGTATACTTTTATAGAATTATATACTTCTATATATATAAGTATTCTAATAAAGATATAAATCTTAGAAGATATAGTATTTTTCTAGATTTACTATATTTTTTTTACCTTTTACTCTTTAAATTATAACTTTTTCTTACTATATTTTAAAGAGGCGTACTTATTAGTTAACTAACTTATTATAGTAATAATATTAGGTATAAAAAAGAGCTAGAATAGAGTAAGAGGACTTATAATATCGATATTATCTAATAGATTAATAGTAGGCTATCTCTTAGTAGGCCTTAATAGTATCTATCTATCTAGATTAATTATTAGAATTTCTATAAGTACTTCCTTAATTATATATTTCTTTTTTATACCTATTTTAGATAAGAATAGTAAACTAGTTAGTATTTCTTACTCTAGGAAGTATTTTTAGTAGAGATACCTTATAATATAACTATTAAAGCTATATTAGAGGTATTCTTATAGAAGAAATAAATATTAATATTAAATATAATATCTTTATAGATATTAATAGATATATTATTAATACGCTAATTATATTATTAAACTAACCTACAAGGAGCTAATAGGAGACTTGTATTTCATTACTAATCTACGACGCTAAAACTGACACACTTCAGCAAACGAGGAGATAGGCATTTCTCTAGCGCCAAGTAGTTAATGAAGCACGTGATGTCCCAAAGCCCCCGCCTAAGAGATGGATGAGGCACCAGTAGAAGCGAGTACAAATATGTAGGAAAGAATAAACGAGGGACGTCCAGTACGTACTGATATTTTTGATTAGGGTCCCTTGCTTCCATATTCTCGCAAAATGCAAAGGCATTCACGAAGCTGCATTTTGATAGAGCAGCCATATATTCTCTCTCATACCAGAACTGGAGACTCGAGAAGTGACGTAGTTATGCCGAGTGGATAACTTTGCTTATGTAATTATACCCACAGTGCTTGGATATTTAGGATTCAACCAATCATATTTTTTTTATGAACTTTCACGGCCATATCAAAGACCACTGCCTATATTAGTACTGGTAACACTAGCGATCTGCTCCATCAATATTGCTGATCTTATCTATCTTATTCTATAACCAGTTGTCAATGCTTTGTTCCACAGTAGCTATCTATATGTGGGCCACGTTAACTAAGTTAGCCATATCTTAGGTAGTTAGTCTAACTTATAGAATGGTATTCCATTCTCTGGTTAATTGTATTTCTCGCAAGTCAACTAACTAATGCCTAAGGGTATAATGCAAATTATAAGACAGAGCATTAAAAATTATTACTTTCTTCCATCATAGGTTTGTAAGATAGTTCTAATTTGAACCTTATATGCACGCCTTTTAAAGAAACGCTTGCATGTCCGGCTTGCATATGATTCTTTATATAGCCAGATCATTTTAAAAACAATCCCATCCAGCGTAGTAATGATACAAATAATAATAGCAAAATATAAGTATAGCTTTGTTGGATGCTATTATTCTTTGAAGCTCGGAAGAGGGGGCAGCATCCGAAGCCCAACAAACTCATATAGAATCTGCCGCATAGATTCAATGGTATCAACAGCTCCAAACCAGCCAAGTTTATGGCATTTTGTGCGGCTATAGAATAAATTCATTAGCTTTCTTATTTCCAATATACAAACAAGCCAAAAAGCAAAAGAAAAAGAAAAAGAAAATCAACAAAGAGTCCTGACCTAAATTGGAGTGGCCATGCCATAAGTAATGCACTATCTGTAAAGCTAAACAGGCGATGAATGTCCTTTGCGCTTTGGAATGGATTAGTTTGCAGGTTATGTTTCTGACTTAATACTTTCCATGCATCTTGGACTTCGGGGTCAGTGGCCCAGTGGGAGAGCGCATATTTCAGCCGGATGATGCCTCGGGGACCGAATCTATCAAGATATATAACGAATCAACATCAATATCCGCCTGTTTCCCGAAATACGCAGAAAGATCGTCTCACTCACCCTCTTGGTGGCGGCTCATATTGAGTCGGAATTGAAATGTACTGTGATTTTTCATCATCGGGAATCTGGTATGGCAAGTTGTACCAGCTGGCAAATGTGGGCCAGAATGCAGCCCAGGTGAAGGCGCTGTTGTCACAAGCATTGAATGCCTGGTTTGCAGCCTTGGGGGTGAGAACAGCCCATTCTTCCAGATATCCGTTTAACGTGGCCGACGATAAATCCAGAGGCATCATATACGAAGCGAGTTCTCCCGGATAGACAAGAGGCCGTCCAAGGTGTGCCTGGATAGCCCCAAAGATACCCAGAGGATACATCATGTTCATGGCAGCTTCTTTCACGGCACCGAGCACGAAAGATGGCATAACTACATTCCAGCTTGCACCGGTTTCTTCACAATACCTGAAGAGCGTATCCTCCTGGGTGTAGTAGAAGTTGGGCTCCAGCAAGACGCGAGGATCGCCCTCCCTTTGGGGTGTCATCGTGGGACCAAGATGGATGCCATAGTTTTTGGCTCCAGTCTGCAGCATGACCCGCTTGGGCGTGATTCCTGCAAGCTTAACGGCATCCAGGAAGTTAGAGAGCATCGCCGCTAGACACTATTTGTGAGCAACTCTGGTTCTGGTTCAGGGGAAGGAAGTCAAATATCCTTCCAACGGGCTTGCATATACATACTATTGACCCTGACTAACTCTTCTGCAGCAGACCAGATGCCGCCACCATCCTCAGGTTCTGATTGAATGTACGAGAAGAAGAAGATGTAGTCACTTGAATCCAAGCAGCGTGTTAAAAACCGAATTATCCGAATCTTGCGATCAGGTACTTACGCTTTCACACCATTTTCTTTCATGGCCATGGCTAGCTCCACTGGCGTGCTGTCAAGGAAATCCAGCGAGATGTGCTGGACGTTCGTCTTCCATTTCGTGGGTACTAGCGGTGGCCGTTTTGACATGGAGTAGATATTTGTCCATCTTTCTGGTGATTCAGCCAGGACCCGAAGCATATGATGGCCAGATATTCCATTTGCGCCCGTTATGATGGCAGAAAGGCCCTTCAGAGACTCTGGGAAGACAGGCAGCCCGTGATAGATGCCCTTTGACTGGACTTTGCCCACGCCATTTAGTTCTTCGTCGTTGATGAACATGACGACGAAGTCACTCCCGGGAAAGCAGTCAGGTATGTCGGCGGGCAAGAGATGGAAAAAGAGATGAGATGTTGCCGGCGGCTGGTTACGATAATGTTTCTGGTCGAGGAAGTCCCGAGAGTTGTGGTTGTTATTCCCCCCTTTATAGCCAGCATCTATGGCAGATATATTACTACCCCTTCAGGCTTTACTCGGTGCCGTATGAATGATGCAGGGCGAGTGCAGAGCGATGGTTTCTGCATAATAAGACCTCTGCAGTGCACCTCCACGGCATCGATTCGGGTAATGGAAGAATTACTGGTTTAAGCAGTATTTTTTTTTTTTTTTTTAACTTCCTAATAACGTAAATACAGAAGGCAGTATACGGAGGAGACAGGGGGTTTGGGGTTTTTTTCTCCATAGTGAATGGTGAATAGCCGGCTGGTAATACTAGTACATGCACAATAACGCCCTGTCCAATCAATACTCCGGAACCGCCGGTCGAAGAGAAGAGAGGGAAATTGTAAAAAAAAACAAAGGGTGGAGAGTAAAAGAAAGTCGAGATGCTGCGGCTCCGCGACATCCCAGTAAGACTGAGGAGAGAGTCCCTTGGAGTAGGGAGTTGGGTGAGTATATATGTCCTGTTTCTTGCATCGTCAACCACGCACCCCTGCAATGCAGCGTAACATGCTGAAGATTTCGCCAATGTCCCATGCATGATTCATGCATCTTCCATGCAGATTGGGAGAGAAGCACCAACCAACGGGCTCGGAATGCCACGTCAGAAGCATACCAAGCAAGAAAAAGCAAAAGCAAAAGAAAACGAGCAAGATGCAAAAAGGAAGTGAATGATAATGATGAAAATGAAACATGAGAGTTAAAACTTCCGAACCAGATCCATTCGATCGCCTAGGGTATGAAACATTCACAAGCTTGGTTTGTCCCTTTCACCTATTGTCCTAGAAGACGCCTTCGAAGCCCTCAAGTGAGAGTTGGAAGAGCTCTTCATCCCATAAACTGGGGCGAAAGGTCATAACTGCGGATAGATCTGCACCTGGGATTGTACCATGTCCCCAGTTCAGAATCTGCTGGTCCATGCCTGTGGTAGGTACATTATTGAACCCGGCTTGTGAAACGAAGTTTTCATTTTGCCCAAAGGTTGGATTCATGTACTGCTGTTGCATTGAGGACTCGCAGGGTGCCGTCGTAGTGTAAGGATTAGTTGACATTTGGTTCTGGCTGACGAATGGCGGCCAATCGCCTGAACTAGACGCTGTCTGCGAAAGGCCGCTCGGGCCGTATGTGCGAATAGTAGCCGCAGATGTTGTGGTGATTTCACCCGGACTGGTCACGATGGCTTGACCAGGTGTATTAGTACCACAGGGCTGAGATATATTATTCTGGGCAGCCTTGTTAGGAGATTGCTGCACTCCCTGCTTGGTGGTTGCGGTACTTGAGGGATATTGCACAGCAGCCTCTCCGAGGGTATTGGAAGTGCTCGAGTTTCTCAAAGGAGCCTGCAGAAGAAATAAAGTATCAGCAGATCAATGAAAGAAAATAGCGCTCAAGGCGCTTTACATGAAATGATGACGTCAAGGAACGCATTTCCCCTTTACGGAGAATGTAGATTATTGCGAGTCGCGATTACTCACCGACTTATTCGCGTCATCGTCAGCACCCGTGTCCGTGGCCGCGGGTGCTGTCTTCTCGGATTTTGAGGCCCGTGGCTGGAGAAAGGGCGGAAGAGGAACTTCAGCTTTCTTATCCTTGCGTTTCGCATACCAGGCTTTCAGCATGCCAATTATAAGCGAGAATCTGAGGCCAACTCGACTTTGATTCCCCTCGTTGCAAGTATGGAGGTGATTAATTAGGTTATTAAGCGAGGCCTCGACTTTGAAATCGGCAGTACTGAAGACGTTAGCGAGCCGGCTGCCGGGTGATGAGGCAACGGAGTACAGTTTTATCAGAGCAACGCATGCATAAGATGTGCGAACGAAATGTATGGTAGGGAGGCAAGACATCAAAGATCGATCCATGGTGCCGAACAGGTCAAGGACCCGGTGAATGGAAGTGAGACATGCTGTAAGTGCATTCACATGTGCAGCCGTCCCAAGATTGGCCTGTGATTCTTCAGCGAGACCTGGGAGAAATGGCGGTTTGAAGTCGTCGATGTTGTGATCGATGTGCATGCCGATTTCGTGCATATATATGCTTAGCACTTGCTCATAGTGTTCCATTACAGCTGTGAATATATGCTTAGCGATGGTTGAAATAACAATTAAGAATGATCATCAACTGTCTTACGGCTGTATACTTTGGAAGGCACTTCCTTCCGCCACTCATCCAGGCGCGTTTCAAAGCCTTTGAGAGCAAACTGCACTCTCGGCTCGTCTATGGATATATTTGTCAAGGGGTCGTCCATAGAGAACTGGAAGCCGATCTCTTCGCCGATATGGGCGAGTTTGACCCATTCAACAAGTGCCCGATCGCTGGGATATGCGTCGGGCGATTCCAGTAGCAGTTTGACTGATTCATCCATATATGTGTTCCAGCGGGTGAGAAGAGGCCTTCGAAGGCCCATAGATGCACTGCATATAACAAACGTTAGAGATCAAAAACCAAACAGACATTAAAAACTCGTGGGTATCACAAAAGGGAGAGAGGCACGGACTTCACAGCCAAAAAATAGCAGCCCATCCACGCTCTCCTACCGTCAAGCGACTGCGGGTCAACAAATATGGCTTTTCTACTCATAAGTTCCTTTATGATTTCTGATGATTGTGCCTGTGGCTTTGAGCGGCGGTTCATGCCCATATCCGTTCCCATAATAGCCGCCAGATGAATAAGGAGGTAGAACTTGAGCTCTTCATAGTGTTCCGGTGGCATGTACCACAGAGATGCGATCACAAGAGCCTGCATCAATTCTAACGACTTTTCACCACGGACAACAATGCGGTCGGCGAATATTTTGTGCATCTCACTCGTTAGAATCGGTTCCAGGCTGGGTGCACATGATGCAATTGATACAGAGAGGACGGATAGGAACAGTATGGGTGTTTCTCGCCGCACATCACCCATCTTGGTGCCCGGCGAGAACACTACCGCTGGCATCAATGGTGCCATAACCTTGACATAATGTGTAAAGGCCTTTGCTGCTGTTTCCTGGTCGATGATGCCGCGGTCTATGACATCTGCATACTCATGGTCCGGGCGTCGGCCTGCTGATGACTCCGGTAGAAATACCGGCCAGCTGCTCTCCTGTTTATTGGGGGATTCTCCATGCAACCACGTACTGACGAAAGTTGTATGGCTCGAAGGGCTCTTAGAAGGTGGAAGAATGGCAGGAGGCCTCATCCCCGGTAGCGACCTGATATCCCCATTTGACGACCTCTTGCTTCCGGCCAACCCAGCGGAGCTTGATGGGTTCTCACCGCTCGAGACCCGCCGTTGAGAAGACCAGCGGCTTGAGCCAGACCAGCTCCTTTCAACATGTTGCTGCGGTCCAGAGTCATTTAGATCGGACGGGTAGCTCTTCGCTCTCGACGCCTGCAGAGTAGCTGTCAACGCGTCGATTTTCCTCTCCAGTTCCGCAACCCGACTGTCTGCCTTCTTCTGCCGCTTCCTGGTGGGGACGGTGACAATGCAGCGTCTATTCGCCTTGACACAGCGTTTGCAAGAGCCATCTGGATGGTCTTGGTCGGGATCACAGCGCACTTTTAGCTGTCGACAAGCCTCGCATGCTCGAGGACGCTTGAGGTCGGCGAGGGGATCACTCGGTGCCGTATCCGCAGCCGCACCTGCGGCGGGAGGACTGTTGTTGTACTGTGCTGATTTCGAGCCATCTGTACCTGCAGTAGCTTCGTTTGAATTCGTTCGTGAGTCAGAGGGCGGCGGTATTAGCGAGGGTGAGCCTCTATGTGAGGTCGAGGTGGCGGAAGGCGACGAAGCGTCCTGGGCCGATGCGTTCGAAGGGGGATATTCCACCTCCATCTACCCGGAAGTATCGACGGCTCCTCTGAGATTTATCTTCTTCTCTCGCAGGACCATGCCAGGTCGCCTAACGCCGCCATCCACGGAAGTACGGTATGTCGGCGGCCGACACAAAAACTGCTCCGACAGGACAGGGCGTACGTATATCAGGCAGTAGTAATATTCCTTTTTTGGCGGCAAAATGCGCACAACGGGGGTAAGCGTTCCTTCAGAGAGTCATCGTATAGGACAAGCAACTCTGAATATATTGAGAATCGGCAGCCTTAGGAGCCTTAAATTTTTGGTGGAGGTGGGATTTCATCCATCTGGATTTGCGGCTGGAAGTGCTAGTCCCTTCATATTTAGCTGCCTGGAGAGCCGCTCGCTCGTACTCGTATTGTTGACTACAACGGCGAGCAGATCGACCGCATGACGAAAGCGATATCTGTATCCGCAAGGCCTCGAGGAAAGCCGTCTTGAGCCCTCCAGTGCCACTGCGGCTCACTCTTAATGAAGTCGGAGCTACGCGCCGACTCTCCCATAAACAAGGCTTCGCATTGAACTCGGGACTGTAACTAGTATTTCATCCACGCTCCTTTCACTGACAAGAACCCCAGATAACTAGCTCCGCTCTGCTTTGAAATCTTCCATGGCAGGCTTCCTCAATCAGATGCACGGCGCTGTGCTATACACAAGTTAGCTGCGATTCACCAGAGCGTAGAACGATAGTTACTTGCCATCGGCTGCTTCCTCAACCCGGACAAAGACTTCAGTCTTCATCTCCTGTCCTTTCCTTGGTGGCACTGCTCGTCTCAAACGCAAGGGAAGAGGATGCTCTGTAGCAGGCTTGTTTGCTCGTTTCCGCCGGCTATAGGGAGTTGCTTGTAGTTATCTACTAGGAATCATTAGCAGTTATCAAAAGCAGCAAGCAAGATATTCACCAATGAATTCTTTATTAAAGTGATATTTCTATCTCGCTTTAATAATAGTATCATATATGTAAAACCAATTATATGGCACGAGTCCGCTAACAATATTCGCTGCTTCCATGGTTATAAAAGCCCAAGTCCTAAAGCTCCAATACGCCAACAGACCAAAAATTACACCGAAATCACACGAAAATCCACACTTATTGAGATGCGTTTATGTCACTTTATGGACGGGACACTCTTCTTTACGGTCAAACCACCCAAGAATACAAGTCTTGTGGAATTTGCATAGACACTCGAGCCGCGCCAGTTCGGCACCAACTTCATACTCCTCCATGCAAATGGAGCATTCAGACTGCACGCCATCTGTGCCTAGACAGTCTTTCTCCGTTGCAACAAAAGTAAGCATCCTCAGGCGTTCTGATGGTGTGGATTGACTGGAAGCCCCGGGGCGTCTGGCGGCATGTCTTTCAATGCATACACGGATATGTGCTTCGCGTGCATCTTCATCACTTCCTGGAGATTGTGGGGGAAATATATGATTGCATACGGGACAGATATCCCGCTCGGTGATAGTACGGCGAGGTCGTGAACCGGATGGTGGTGCTGGCAGAGGGCGATTCATATCTGCTGTGCGGAGTATAGACCTTGTATATGATGGGTGATGCTGGTTCCGTTGTAACTCCTGGGTATCAGGTTAACACTCGGAGTTGTAGGGTATATATATAGTGTCTACTACTTACTGTGAATCCATCATGGGAATAAAAAGGTGGAGAACCCTGGGATTGAGATTCTGTCTCTCTACCTGGTAGATACCGGG